GTCCCGAGATTTTTATATTAAAAGATCAACAATTCTCCTTTGAGTGAAAATTAAAAAATAGTAATTACACGGTCATTTTTAGATTTAAAAGACGTATAAAACAAAAGTAAATAATAAAAATATAATTGCCCTTGAGAGGAACTTTGACTTTTTCATKTMGGTGTCAAGTATAAATCCAATAATAATATTATATTAACAATTTCAATTTTTASGTTGGCCTAAAAAAAAAAGTGATATCAGTGAAATTTATAGTRGAAAAGATTTGATATAACTAGAAATTAATCCACACGATTCATAATTTCAAAAAATATAATAATGTAGAGTATTCTAYAATAATAATTATATTGTTTAAGTAAGCRCTTGAGAARTTTAGACAATCTATGGCTCGTTAATTTGTTTATGTATATAAGCAATATATTCTAATAATATTAATAAATATTTAGATAAATATTACGTACTTACATAGGTAATTTACCATTATCACTCATCATTACTCCTTAGATATTTTATCTTCTACTTTCAATATAATTGTTGAATTTACTAAGAAAAAAATCTACAATAGCTAAATTCATATTATCATTATTATTCACGTATCGCGTCAAATAAGACCACTAATTTCATTCAAATTTTATCTAAAATGTATAAAGTAATTTTTTTATTTTCTTCCGTCACGGACTATCTATGTTGCGTACGTCGAATGCGCTTTACTGAAAGATACATCCTTATTATTATTACTAACTAACTAAGGTCTAGAAATTTATTAGTTCGGTGGAGTAGAAAAAAGTAAATCAAATATTATTTATATTAAGCTTCGTTGGACGAAAATATGTGTCCTTGACACTTTGCACAAAAGCCATAAAAAATACCCGACTCTCTTTAGCTGTCCTCTGGGAAACTCGTCACATAACAACAATGACTTACAGTATATTATTACATAATATATCATCCGGTAGTAAAAATGATGCGATAGTTTTCGCATTACTAAATAATATTCAATTTCAACGAGATTTTATTGTACGTTTAAATAAAAAAATTAGGTTAGTATTATTACGTTATCGCGTAATATATCGTCATAATTATTATTGATATAATTTGTACGTTTCATCATAGGAAAATGATTTGTTTATAATTTTAGTTATTTTATTTTATAGAAGTCTAGAGTAAGCATGATTAATTTAGTGTACTTAAACTTGATATTTAATCGGTTATTTAAATTAAAGGAAATAAAACAAATAAAACAAATATACGAACTTGTAAATATTATATAATATACTACGTACAGCTGTTAACAACTATATTGTTAAAATTTCAATTAAAATACTTTTATTCTACGCGAAGTCGTGGAATACCGTTTTGGTGATACTAATTAAAACACGGTTTGTGTTAAGGACTACGAGTAATTAATTTACTTAGTATATATTATATTGTACACCTATTGTGAAACGTTCGTGTTCATTTTATTTCATCAGATATAATAAGTAATTTAAAATAATACCTACCTAATAATAATAATAATAATTATTATTATTATTATTATTATCTTAAACTACATCATTATGACTGAGAATATTTTATTATAATATGGTCATTTTACTGCCGTTTATTTCAATAGTGTTGTATAAAAATAATATTATAGTAACAACTTAACGCACTGCAATAAACATAATATTATATAATTTMGTAGCTTTTTTTTTATACTCTTCCTACCCGTTGTTATAGTACTTTATTAATAATTGTTTTATTTTAGAAATTAGCTGTCACGATGGTGTAAATTAAATTTTTCAACATATTTTAATCAGAGGAAAAAATCATAAGTACCTACTGGCTACTGCATATTTCCAACGATTCGTTACGCTTCTACATACATCCATTACAGCTACACTGTACTTTATAACTTACAAATTAGTATGAAACTGGTCTATTATTTTTGGACATCAGAATTTGACCAGTATTATAGCATAACAGCTCATCATTTTTTGTTTTTATAGTTTTGAAATTATAAATTTCTGATATGGCAACTAAGGTCATTAGGATTCAATTTGTGCATACATTTGCATTTTAATAATAACTTATTCAATTACAAATTAAGAGATACAAATAAAACAAAAACAAACAAAAAATTTTAATTAAATAAAAACCGTTTTAAAATACAATTTAGTTATTTATTAAGGACGAAATTAAATTAYTTGATAATGCATTGAAACATGTGGACACAGATTATAAGTTATATATGATGTTGATTATTTCTAATGATTCTTCTGTGATATTAGATTTAAACTATATTTATAAAAAAAATTGGGTACACACAACACACTATTTTGAGATCCTACCGATATGTGATTATTACCAAAACAATGTGATTAACGTAAGAAAAAGAGTTTTAAATTGTATTTTTTCTCAAAAAGTCCACTATAGATAACGAATGATTATTTCACCGTACTCCTCAGGTGTGTGTTTTTATCACTATAAATTCTGATGTCCTCTTTTGAGTGTACCAATCGATGGTCCGCTCATATACATAATTTCGTTATATTATACACAAGCGACCTCATCGTAACCAGTTGTCAGTGTCATTTTTCACGTACAGTCACAGATATAAACATAAATACTCCGTGACTGCGGGGCGAACATTAATTAATTATTATTGGCATCGTGTCAATAATGTCATTAGCAAGGGAAAAATATATATTATTCTCTAGCRAAGCTCGAAGGTAGCGGAAACGGTACGAAAGGTATGATAAAAGCTTAGCGGAAAAACGGCTGCGAATGCGAAGCGACTCGACTATAATAGAACTTGACGGTTTTCCAAAAGGGGAAAAATAACATTTTTTTTTTTTCATATATATTTATTTATTTATTTTTATTTTTTTGGCTACATTTCGGCTTGTACCACGCACGTGTGATCGGGCTGGAAGGCGCGCTAGTGATGGCAGTGGGTGTGGTGGTGGGGGTGTCTTGTCAGAAACGTGCCAAAAATAAACAAAGTACAACCCGCCCGACCGTGAACGCGTTTAAGGTAATAGGAAACAAACGGAAAAAAATAACAATAAAAACAATCTCAATACAATTCCGTTACCTCTGGATATCGGCACGCACACGCACACTCACTGCAAACGGACACGTCGTTCCCCGGAAAACTCTATCTGTTTTCCTGACCCATATAAACGAATCGGCGTACAACTGTTTGTGTAGTTCRATCGTTACATTCGGTACACCTTATGACTCACTCTATAGCTTCATCAGCAAATCGCTGAGAGTGAGTTTCGATTTCGGAGACAATGCAGTTAGAACCATATAAGACATGCCTATTAGTCGCACGATGATGATGGTCATTTAAGACATACAAGTTTGAGGAGGTGATAAAGATTATTTTAATTTGGTGTAAAGGGTTGTGGCAGGGGTACGACACTCTAACAAATCAGAATGCTATTTGAAAAAGTGGAGACACAGCCTTGAATTTATGAGCACTGAAAATTTGATAATACATAATACTGGTTATACAACTGATATGAAAAATAATACAAATCTGTGGTCATTTCCGTTATGTTCCGTTAAGGTTACCAAATGCTTGTAATGTTTAGTGCTCTTAACTAAAAACTACGATAAACAACCTATAAACCGCCCTAACTCAACCAGCCAACCGTATTTATTGTATATTTAATATTAGATAATATATAAAATATATAACTACGTAAACTGTTTGAACTTTWGTTCACCAGGAGTGCTAGTCTAGCTCTCCATGCCTTTTCATGACTAAAATCAGGGAGCGCCATTTTTTTTTTAACTGGCGATTAGTTGTATAACTTGCAGCATAATATCTTTAATCGTGTTAACGACCCATAATACAATATTTTAATATTATAACATTTTCAAAACAATAATTTTTTTTTTTTTGTGTAATATTTTAAAACAGCATTTCTCAATCTGTAGTACGCGTACGGCATGCCCCTAGTGTTACGTGGACAGCGTATTACATGTGCTAGGCTAAGAAAATCTTGCGTTTCATGAAAAAAAATTGAAACGATCATCATTGAATATTACTCTATTCATTTGATGTCAATAATAATTGTGAATATTTCATTTCCCGCCATCATGGCCGTCAGTTGCTTCTGATTGTTTTCCGTGACAATGGCAGTGCCCATAAATTCAAGGGTAAAAATCTCCACCGTTTTCAAATACATAACAATATGATTCGTGAAAACGTGGCACCCTTGCTATCAATGACTAAACGGGTGTATGAATAAATAGGACCATCGTGATACCAACCATACATATTATGGTAACAATACGGATCTAGTTGTCTCGGGATTTATTTGTCAGCATACGCACGGGCCACGRTGGTCAAGCGGCACAATGTGCCAAGCAACAGAGGTTGGCAATGCTGCATAATATAATATGATAACACTATCTGAATATCACATGTCCACGTCATACATAACCCAAAACGCTACAACGCATGATTGACGCATGTTTTTTATTGCATCAGACTAATTATTATTCTATAGTAATATAGTGTGTTGAACGGTCGTTAGTGACGTCAGTCTCGGTCATATCTCCTCGTTTTTGTTTATATTTAGAGCGTGCGCGCGTGTTCTCAGTATTAATACAAGTATAATATTGTGTTTATACAATAATATTATTATGTCTGATTTTATATTGTCAATATGTTAATTATTTTTCTGATTATTTTCAGGTTTTGTTATACTTTGAGATTAAAATTTATTCAAAACTATAGCCCGGTATTATGAGTCTCATTAATTTGATGAGGGTCCCGCCCATGTTAATTTTGGATATTATACTGTTCAAAGGAAGTTTCGTGTTCCTAGATTTGTCTGATCAAATATTTTTAGAAAAAAATGAATTTTTAAAATGTATTTTTGATCAGCTTGAGATCAATGAGTCTGCACTATATTACAAGACCATATTTATTTCCTTCATCAAAGTAATGTTCTGTTTGAGTAAGTTATATAAATTTCCAAAGAAAAATAATAACTCAATATTATCGATTTATTAATTAACTTTTTATTTTTCTAGTTCTTTGTTTATCATTATATTCATTTTTTCTACCTGCCAAACACTTATACCTGATGTACATTCATGTAGTTTCTGTATGTATTGTACTTCTTTCTAATTGGGCGAACATACAAACATTGAAARTTGTATATGGAAAATRTGAAAACTTTGAAATTAATGCGTTTCATAAAGATATAACATGGGATGTAGATGGATTTTTATATATTTTTACAGAATTACAAAGTACACATTTATTTTATCCGTTATTCAATAATTTAATCATTCAGTGTATTCTATCACTAGTTTTTAAAAATCTTCAAGTGTCTACTAGAAATCATTCAATTCATAAAGTAAATATCTATACAATTTAATTAACTTTCTTCTAAATAAAAATAATTTATTAAATATTTCAGGTTTTCAGCTTTAGCTTTACCATTCCTACATTAATCGGAATTTTACACATAACACGGGGACATGGAATTTTGAATATTATATTAGCATTATTCTCAACAATACTGCCATGGTGTATTATCAAGAAAACATTTTTTTTAAATCTATTTTCAGTTTCAAATTTATTTTATTACAGATATATGCGACCGAACATCAAGTGAGTGCATTTTATACATGATTATTACTATCACTAGACAMTAGTTATTCATATTTTGGTTATTTTTTTGCACCTACTTAGTAGAATCTCAATATACAAAAGAATTATTAGTATTACCTATTTGGTACGTGTTTTGTTATAGTAATTATGAAATGCTTGCTCGGATTAACATGGATTTGAATAGTTTGAACATTTTAAGTGTTCTGCGAATATTCTGGGCTATACGAGTACTAGCACAAATTCTACACCTGTTAATTGATATGGAAACACAAAATGAAACTTTGTTTGGAATTGTGAAATATTTGGTAGCTCAAGGATGTGATACAATACCTGCAATTTTAGGAATGTCTAGTTTTGTATCATATTTTTGTAATTATATATATGTATTCTTCCAAAGGGTAAAATGCTAGACATGTATTTAAATTTTCAGAGGTTCTTAACTGTTTATTTTTTTAGTTTATGTTGACTGATGAGGTGGATAATAATGACAAAAATATTGAAAAAGATTCTGCAGTATTATTTTTTGTATTAGTTATATCAAAAGGAGTAACAGGATTTAATTCAGAAAACTGTTTTATAACACTCTGTAAAACTATTGGTTTGCTTTGTGTTTTCCTACTTCATCACATCCATGAAAACGTTGATCAATTATTGTCTTTGTGTACTTCTAATGCTTTATCATTTAAAAGGTAATATATTATACTATTATACATAATCAAAAATGTTTTAATTTGATTTAAATTTTTAGACATTTAAGAGCTCTTTTAGTTAGTGGATTCCTTATACTGTTTCCAATTACCATGTTGACATACTTGTGGTCTCATCATTCAAACTATTGGCTAATATCAGTTTCTGCTTCTGGTATTGAATATATTATAAAAACATTGATTTCAATYGTTGTCTATTTATTACTCTTAATTGATAATTATTACCAAACAAATTGGGAGAATTTGGATGATTATGTCAACATTATAAAATCACTTGGCAATTTGGTAATTTTAAAGATCCTTAATATTTATTTAACAATATTATGGTTACATTTTTTATTTTAGGTGGGGCTATTTCTTAGATTGTTTTCTTTAAACATTGGTGTTTTAGATATTGCTCTTTCACCTGACAGTACAGTCTATTCACTTGTAATATTGTTTATACCTATGTGTGTACATGGATATGAAAACATATTTTGTGTCGCTTGGGACGAATGGATGACAACTACTGATCGCCAATTAGCTGCCAAAGAAATTGCATTATTATTAGATGCTACTAAGGATCAATTGTCTGAACTAGATGATGTCTGTGCTATTTGCCTTCAAAATATGAGATCAGCAAAAATTACTAAATGCAATCATTATTTCCACGGTGCATGTCTGTATAAATTATTGCTCTACACAGATTTCCAAGTGAATAATTATTTAAATATTATTTAAAAACAATAATTATTTTATTTAGGTTTAAAATATTTAATCTATAGTTTTTACATAAATGTAACTAAATATTGATTGTATGGAAAACCTAATGTAGCTTAATAAATATAAATATATCAACATAGAYAGTATTTGATTTTAACACATTGACTGCCATGCAGCCGCTGGCGGCCTCAGGAATATTTATCATGGGTACGCCAAAGACATTTTACAGTGTCATTATAAATTTGTATTTGTATATATACTATTGAATTTAAAAAAAATTAAAAATACAAAAAAAAATAGTTAAAATTATGTTTATTACATCAAAAAAATTGCAATTATTCCCACTATGCCACAGCATATTTTCAAGATCATTATTGTAGCGCCACGGAAAAGTTAATAATATAAATCCAAATTAATTTACGGCAACCCGCAGCCGTATGGCCTCCTACGAATGATATGGTGCGGCAGCCGGCGGTCTAAAAATTATCAATACCTAATTATTATTATACGGACGCTGGCGGCCGCATGGCAGTCAACGTGTGAAGTACAAAAAATTTGTGAACATATTCAAATATATTTGGGTACACTTTAGAAGTACATAAATATTTTAACCAAAGTACTTTACAAGACTTCCTAATAGTATTAAGATCTAGTCTATTAATAACTAAATTGGTAATTGATTATTATAGGAATTGTTCAATTAATAAAAATTATTTCACATCACTTTTTTTTTTTTAAATAATTTTGATAATTTTAATTTTATTTAGGTTCAATTATAGGATATAATATTATTTTAACCAAAGTACTTTACAAGACTTCCTAATAGTATTAAGATCTAGTCTATTAATAACTAAATTGGTAATTGATTATTATAGGAATTGTTCAATTAATAAAAATTATTTCACATCACTTTTTTTTTTTTAAATAATTTTGATAATTTTAATTTTATTTAGGTTCAATGCCCATTGTGTCAAAATAATATTATATCCTATACAGAAACCTAAAATGTCCAGACTCAAAATCATAAGCAAAACTACAGATCAGGCCACTAAGACCATCATCTGATCTAATAATAACTGTGTACAATTTAAAATTTAAATAAAAAATGTATTTTTTAATTAAAATGTTTTTCTTATTTATCATTTAACTTGTCCTTATAAAATTTTCTAGTTTTGCCTATGCACAAGATTACTTTGTGTGTAATATTATTATCATTTTTGTTATCTATAATAATATACCAAAAATACAGTCTTAGTTTAATAAGTACATCTATATTATATTGTACTTGCAACAAACATGCTTAAAGAATAAAGTAAGAAACTATATTATCTACTTACATCTGTGCTATATTATGACCATAAATTTACTTGAAAAATATCCTCTTCAATTTTACATGTAAAATCATAAAATCTTATCAAATAGAATCATTAATTTTTAGAATTATTTTTTACCACAGAACAATATAGAAACACCCTGTTTGATAGCCAATTGTTGAAAGCTTAGCATTGTTGTTGTTATACCTTTACCTGGAGGTTTTCATTCGTTATAAACAATATTTACATATATTAAATAATATTGACATTTTTTTTTTTTTTTTTTTTGAGTAAGTATTAGAGATTATATTTTTTATATTTTATTGTAATAATGAGTTTCTTAAGACTATGATTTTTAGAGCTTTAAGTATACATAGGTACAAAACCATATTTTTAAGTACTCACATTTTTTTTATGCTATTTAAAGAGTATTATTTCTTGACAATTCAAACTTATTTCGAATATAAATTTTTAAACAGATGAATTTATTTTAAATTTTATGTATATATNAGGTTATTAGTTTTTGTTAAGATACAATGTTAATGGTATTACAATGTTTATATGATGCTAACTACATATGGTTACTATTTAAGTTAATGTTACAATTTTTTTTTTTAATCAATACGTTTAAATTTTGTTGTATAAATCCGATCCTTTGAGAAAGGCTATCATGTTTGATGTGGTAATATTGACATTTATAAATTGTCGACTAAACCAATTCCTATTGATATGTGATTATTTATGAAAAAATATTACATATTAAAATTATTTCAACTACTTCAAAACATTAAAATATAATGTTTTGAAGTAGTAATATTATTATCTACATAACATTGTGATCAACTTTAAGATGCGAATATATGGCAAATATTTATTTGATTTAATAGGATAAAAGTACATATTATTATTTTAGTAATTTATAATTATTAATAATTAATAATTTCAATGAGATACAAATTATGTTGGCTTTTTTCATTGACCCATATTTTAATATTTGGTTCCATCGATAAGAGTTAGAGGCGCTGCTTCATCATCTATAATTTATCGCGATATTTTGGTTTCGTTGATGCATATGAAAATCTGGTTACACGCAGATAATATGTTGTTGTAAAAGGAAGAAGTGTTGGTGCAGATTTTTTAATCAGAAATTGATATTTGTTTGCAATATGGCTATCTGCTGCACCAGAAATCTATTGTTGATATTTTATCAAATAAAGATTTTAAAGATGAATCGATGGTCATTTCAATAAATGTTGCTACTCCATTAGAGTCTTCAGGCTTAATGTCGATTAAAATAGATTCTTAGCCCAATTACATCTTTGTATTAATTCTGTATCATTACTCTCTGAAAATATTTTTCTAATGACGATTGTAGATACCTATTTCATTAGAATTCTATTCAATTTTGTCAATGATTTTTTCAACAATAAACGATGCCCTAGTTTACATATAACCCAAAAATATTAACTTATAATCTTTTACATTACCTACACATTTAATAATTTTCTCTATCTTAATTTTTGTTAGTTATTATAATTTCAAATAGTTATTAAAATAATCATGATTGTATATAATGATGTGTTGTAATAAACATTTTTAAAGTTTTTTAAAATAACATACATTTTTATTACAATAATATTTACAATCAACTATCAATTATTGAAAAATTTGATATGGGCTCTCAGCTGATTCTGAGAACTTATAAAAATTGCCCAAGAATCCAAGGCCATGTCCCCACTTTTTTCAAATAGCATTAGCATTTGTGAGAGTGTCATACCAACCCTCGTACCAATGCATCGGGTTAATGTAAAATTAGAAAAGATTAACCGCCATATTTTTCATGTACTTGTTTTGAAAACCTGGCGAAAAACCGACACCCAGCGGGTTAGTATCTAGGGACATTTGTTGTGAAACGTACTTATCATACACGTTTCAAAGGTGATTAGGAGGATGTACCTCCTGTCATACGGAGGTGAAGGTGCTATACATGTACATCTAAAATTTAAGTTGGAGTAGCTTCAAAATACTCAAAATCATACTACACTCTAACCCTTAGTTATTTTCAAATGATTAGATTTTATATTACATTTCCACCCGATTTAGATACGACGGCAAATTTAGAATAATAATAAAAATATACGATTTAAAATATATATTATGTACTCTATACATCATATTTGCTGTAGCCTGTACTTTGTAGGTACTTTTAAGTGTCTCTATAGATTATATAATATGATTATCAATTATAAACATTGCAATTTGATAGATACCTTTGAGAATTATAAATTGAAAGTAGGGGTTAAGCAGAGGACGCTACACACGCATGTGTTGTCTCCGTCTTACAAGACGTACGTGACATTGCAAAAACTGTTTCGCGCGGGAAAGAACCGAGAAGGCTACAGTCATAACTAAGAAACGAAATTCTCACCACAGATAAAAGGGAATTTCGATTGTGCAACGTTGTTTTAATTTTTTTGATATTAGAACTGAAAAAAAAGTTACCTATTCGATTTTGAAAAACGCAAAAATAATGAATTTTGAAACAATAAGAACTTTTTTTCTATTTGTGATATCGAAAAATTGAAAACAACGTTGCACAGTAAATGTTCTCCTTATTATGTGGTGAAAATTTCGTTTCTTAGTTATAACTGTAGCCTTCTCGGTTCTATCCCGCGCGAAACAGTTTTTGCAATGTTACGCACTTGTAAGACGGAGACGCAACACATGCGGGTGTAGCGTCCTCTTAAACATTTTTTTTATTACCTACTCAATTGAGCACCTACTGCATTTTGCTGTATATGCACCTTATGGTTTATATTATCGCTATTATTATATGCATTTAGGTGTGCGTGCTCTCGTTTGTGAGTGTGTATTTTATATAGGTACATATCCGATGTATACCTATATATATGCACGTTCTCACAATTATAATATTATATTATCAGCTTTATACATAATAATGTACCAATTTTCAATTTTTTCGTTTCGTATACTCGTTACATGCGTGCGCGAGTGTGTGTGTGTGTGCACAAACTGCGTACGTTTGCCATACAGCCGTTAATTGTTTACTCTCCTCCGCGCGACATAATATTGTATATTATAATATTGTTATTAACTTTTTGTTTTTTTTTTTTTGGTAAACCTTTAACTTATAATTGTATTAACTTACAAAATATATATTTAATGCTATGCTATACGTATGAATAAATACATTGGTTTTCATAGATTGATATATAGATACATATATATTATTCTATTTGAGAAATAAAATGATATTTCGTTGCTGTGTTGTATTCAATATCGGACTTGGGGCTTCGAAGAGGATATTATTATTATCGGGGTAATACGAAAACGATATTAATTAGGATAATATATTCTTAAATAATGTATTACCTATGTTTATTTTTTTTGCTATATTTTCACGTCTTTGTCCAACGCCATCGTTTTGCGCTATGATGTGCATCATAACAAAATATATATAACATATTATCTAATACCTATAAATCTATAGCACAAGTGTTAAGATATTAAATAATTTAAAATTTAATAGTTATCAAATCTAAAACTACTTACACGCCTTGTAGAGTCAAGTGTGCAGATTTTATCGTTTTCGAAAACTTCAAACCGATTTATAAAATATAATATTGCAATATAATGTTCGCCGCGCCAATATTTAATTATATTTTATGACCGCGTTAGATTTCATTAAAATATGTCTACAACAATAATATAATATTCGATTATACATTATAATACCTCTGCTGAAAGAATCTACAAGTGTTCTCGATTAATTAATTATTATTATTTTTTTTTAACTATGTCGTCTGTCGATAACCGTAGTAAACGATTATTTAGTTTTTGAGGACGTTTAACTACTATACTAGGTATAGGCACCTATATGTGCAGTATAATATTCTAGTGCAATATTTAATATTTCAATGGCCTACACGTAACTGATATATTATTATTATTATACTGTTCCATAAAATATATTGTCGATGAGGGATGGCGACGAGGGGGGAGGGGTACGGACGCGGGTGCGGTCACGGATCGCGATGCTCGACGAATCGTAATTGCGTTTTCCAACGTAAGTCTGCCGCTCGGCTTTTTGCGGTGGTGGCAAAACCCCGATGGCGGCCATTTTGTATTTAACAATTTATGGCCGGGAAAATTATTATCTTGTTTACTTTCGACTACCGCTGAGGAGACCAACGTTGGCCATTAAACATGTTGGCACGTAATACCTTTTGGTCTTTGATTGCATTCAACCGTATCGGCCGCCGATTTTATTGCGAATCTGCAGTGGATCTGCGTATACACTTTATTATTTATACACGCGTGTTTGTGTGTGTGTGTGTGTGTTTCAGCGATGACTGTACCTTGGTTAAGGTACCATAATCTCGTGGTATGTTACCTCAACATTAATTGCAGGTTGGCACCAGGCCACGGAAATGGCGTGTCAAATGTTATCATGATAGCAAGATTATTATATTAGGTATACAAAGTTAGATTTGGTTCTTTCGATTTTTAGTGTTTTGACTTTTGAAATTTGTAAGTGTCCATACCTATAATWTATGTTTTGTATGTACGAACAGCGGGGCGGAGATGTATTTAAATAATTTTGTCTTGATCATCAAGATTTTCATGGAAGAAATTGGAGTGAATCGTTAAGGGCCAGTTGTACCGTCTACGGTTAAACTTCGATTACGCTTAATCAGCTGATAACAGATATTTAACCATGCAAATT